TCTCTCTCTCTCTCTCTCTCTCTCTCTCTCTCTCTCTCTCTCTCTCCCCCCGGTGTACACATACACCCCTAAATAAAAATAAAAATAAAAATAAAAAAAAATTGAGCGCATCAAAATTTGCGCATGGCGCATGGCGCATGCGCACTGCACGGCGCACCGCAGAAGTGCGCCGCAAGTATGGTTTGGATCAATAATGAAAACATTGGCATTTCGTTGAATTCGTTGGACGTTTTATTTTAACTCGGACAGTGTTTTTGTGTTAGGGTTTTGACCGTTTTATAGTGTTTTTTTAACTTTTTTTTTTTTTTTTTTGCTTTCTTTGGCCTGTTTCTTTTTTTGATGTTTGCACTATGGGCCCATATCGTTTGTCTTTGAAATTTTCAATGAATTTCGCACCGAAATTGCCGGCGAAAACAGCAAATATTTGACCCCCTGTCAACCATCTCTCATGTTTACTGCAATTAAAAGGGAGGGTATTATTTCCAAAACCGTAAACTCATTGTTTCTTCATTTGGCGCTAATTATTTACTTGGTGTGAATGTTCTCCATTCTCCTATGTTCAATATTTGCAGATACAGACTTGCATTTGGGACGCACGAGAGAATACAAATGGCAGCCCTGGTGGGAGCATTCACTCATGTCAGGAAAGAGCTAGTGGCAGCGGCAGAAGGATGACACTGTGCATACAACACTGCTGGAGTGGGGAGGTATTCTCCATCATTCGAGAGTCCCGATCCATGCCCATGCACAATAACAATGAGAAAAGGACTTGATGTATGAAAGGATTTCATGCCGTTTCATTGTCCCAAGTTCTGGTCCCAGAGTCCCATGTGGTCCCGGTCCCAGTTGGGCCCAGTCCCATAGGTTCCAGGCATAGGATCCTAGGAGTCTGATAGGGCCTAGAGGCCGAAGTGTCATCGGCCTGTAGGTTCCCGTAACTTAGATCGTTCGGAGTCGTAGGCCTCGTCCCCGGCAAGGAAAGTCCACAGTCCCAAAGTCCAATTTTGGCAGCAGCATCCTGGGGAAAGTCCTGTAAGTTCTGGAACTGGCAAACTGCAGTCGACAGACCCCGCATTGACCGGTACCATTCCGGAGCCGACAACGATTCACTTCAGCTGCTGTTTATAGTTGCTACAGTGACTCATGGGGTCACTTGTCAATTCTGATGTTGCGGAAGCTATGCTGTAGCGCTTGTGTGACTGAGGGACTGGACAGTCGGTGGACGAAGGAGAAGAAAGGCAATCGGGCGCCGTAGTCAGTGTTGATGAGGAAGAAGACGGCAGCCATAGCGGAAGTGTGAGTGGTCCAAGGATTGAGAGAGAGAGAGAG